CAAATCTATACCCACCAAAAAACCCTTTTCCCCACACCCCCAGCCTCTGTTAATTAGTCTGGCTTTTGTGTCTATGAATTTTATTACTTTAAATACCTCATATAAGTGGAATAATACACTTTGTCTTTTTGTAAATGTCTTATTTAACTTAACATAATATCCTCAAAGTTCATTCAGTTATAATATGTGACTAGGTTCCTTACTTTATTTTAGGCTGAATTATTTCATTGTATGTATGTAGCACATTTTGTTTATCCATTCATCTGTCAGTGGATATTTATTTGAATTGCTTCCAACTCTTGGCTATTGCAAATAGTGTTGAGAGGAGCATCAGTATGCAAATATATCTTCAAGAATCTGCTTTCGATTACTTTGAATATATACCCAGAAGTGGGATTACTGGTATGATTTTGATAGTTCTATTTTTAAATTTTGAGGAACCTCTGTACAAGCATACATACCTCAGAGATATTGCAGATTTGGTTCAGGGCACTGCAATAAAGCAAAATGAGTCATCAGTAAAATGAGTCATACCTTTTTTGGTTTCCAAGTGCATATAAAAGTGATTTTTACACTATACTGGAGTCTATTAAGTGTGAAATAACATTATGTCTAAAAGGCAATGTGTATACCTTAATTAAAAAATACTTTTTATTAAAAAATGCTAACCATCATTTGAGCCTTCGGCTAGTGGAGGGTCTTGCCTTCAGTTAAAAATGCAACATTTGCAAAGTGCAATAAAGCAAGGCTCAATAAAATGAGGCATACCTCCTTTATTGCTTTCAACAGCCGTTGCACCATTTTACAATTATACCAATAGTGCGCAAAGGTTCCAATTTCTTCATACCTCACCAACATGTTATTTTCTGTGTTTTTTCTTTAATATTAGCCTCACCTAACAGGTGTGAGGTGTCTTGTCATTGTGGTTTTGACTTGCATATTTCAGAGGATTAGTGATGCTTGTCGGCCATTTGTAGAAACATTTCTTTGGAGAAATGCTTATTCAATTCCTTTTACTCATTTTAAAATTAGGTTCTTTGATTTTTTTTGTTGTTGATGATTCATAGAAGTTCTTTATACATTTTGGATATTAACCCATTATCGGATATATGATCTGCAAATATTTTCTCCATTCTGTAGGTTCAGTTTTCGATGTGTTCATTGTGTCCTTTGATGCGCAAAAGCTTTTCAGTTTGATGGAGTCCCAATGTTTATGTTTGCTTGTGTTGCCTGTGCTTTTGCTTTTATGTAAAATAAATTATTCCCTAGCCCAATGTCATGCAGTTTTTCCTTTATGTTTTCCTCTAGGAGTTTTATAGTTTTAGATCTTGCATTTAGATCTTTAACCCATTTTGAGTTACATTTTGTATATAGTGTAAGATAAGAGTCTGACTTCATTCTTTCGGATGTACTAGACATCTAGTTTTCCCAGCATTATTTGTTAAAGAGACTGGCTTTTGCTCATGGAGTAGTCTTGGTACACCTGTAGGAGATGATATTGCCATATATATGCGGGGTTATTTTTTGGCTCTCTATTCTATTTCACTGGTCTATTTTCTTGGGTGTACCACATTGTTTTGATTACTGTAGCTTTATAATATATTTTGAAATCAGGAACTGTGAGTCTTTCAACTTTGTTCTTTTTTAAAATTGTTTTGTCTGTCTGAAGTCACTAGAGATTCCATGTAAATTTTAGGATGATTGTATATATCTATTGCGCTTAAAAAAGTGCCATTGAGATTTTTGATAGGGAGTGCATTAAATCTGTAATCACTTTTGGTAGTATGCACATCTTATCTTCTAATTCATGAACAAGCAACATCTTTCCATTTATTTGTCTTCTTTAATTTTTTTCAGCAATGTTTTATAGTCTTCAGTGTACAAGTCTTTTACCTCATCAATTTATTTTATTTTTGAAATATTTAAAAATTATCTTCCCGAAAGCTGCCTGAGTGACCTCTCAAAATGGTTCGCTATTCTCTTGATCCGGAGAACCCCACAAAATCATGTAAATCGAGAGGTTCGAATCTACGGGTTCATTTTAAGAACACTCTTGAAACTGCCCAGGCCATCAAGGGTATGCATATCCGAAAAGCCACCAAGTATCTAAAGGATGTCACATTACAAAAACAATGTGTGCCCTTCCGTCGTTACAATGATGGTGTTGGGAGGTGTGCCCAGGCCAAACAGTGGGGTTGGACGCAGGGTCGGTGGCCCAAAAAGAGTGCAGAATTTTTACTGCACATGCTTAAAAATGCAGAGAGTAATGCTGAACTTAAGGGTTTAGATGTAGACTCTCTAGTCATAGAGCACATCCAAGTAAATAAAGCTCCCAAGATGCGGTGCAGAACTTACAGAGCTCACGGACGGATCAACCTCTACGTGAGCTCTCCCTGCCACATTGAGATGATCCTAACTGAAAAGGAACAAATTGTTCCTAAACCAGAAGAGGAGGTTGCACAGAAGAAAAAGATCTTCCAGAAGAAACTGAAGAAACAAAAACTTATGGCCCAGGAGTAAATTCAACATCAAATAAATGCTAATAAAAGTAAAAAAAAAAAAATTTTTTTTAAATTTATTTAAAGGTTTATTTTTAAGTATTTTATTTTTTAATGCTACTATAAATGGAATCATTTTCATTTCCTTACTAGATGGTTCATTGTTGATGTATAAAAATATAGCTGATTTCTGTGTTGTTGACTTTGTCCCTTGCAATTTAACTGAATGTATTTATTAGTTCTAACAGTGTGTGTGTGTGTGTGTGTGTGTGTGTGTGTGTGTGTGTGTGTGTCTGTGTGTGTCTGTGACATGTTTAGGGTTTTCTACGGATAAGATGATGTCGTCTCTAAATAGAGACACATTTCTTCTGTTTGTTTTTTTTCCAATTGGATGCCTTTTGTTTATTTATCTTGTCTAATTTCTCTGGCTAGGACTTCCAATACTATGTTAAATAGAAGTGATAAGGGCTTTTTTTTTTAATGTTTTTTAAATACTGTTTCAATCTTACTCATTATTGGTCTGTTCACATTTTCTATTTCTTTATAATTCCATCCTGACATGTTTTAGAAATATATCCATTTCCCTTAGGCTATCCAATATGTTGGTGTACAATTGTTTATAGTACTCTCTTTGCTAAACTGTCTTTCAATATTCTCATTTAGCTCATTAAGCATCTTTTAACAGTTATTTTATTCTTCTTATTGAGGCATAATTGACACATAACATTATATTAGTTATAGGTATACAACATAATGATTTGAATTTGTATACATTGTGAAATGATTACCAAGATAAGTTTAGTTAACATCCATTACCATACACAGTTATAACAGTTATTTTAAATTATTTTTTGGCAGCTCTTAGATCTGAACTTCTATAGGGCCACTTTCTGGAGATTTACTGTGTTCCTTTGATTGGGCCATGTTTCCCTGTTTCTTTTATGGTTTTTTTTGGAGGGGTGGGGTGGGGTATTTGAGCATTTAAAGAAACAACCACTGCTCAAAGCCTTTGTGTACTGGTTTCTTGAAGGGTAAGACCTTCACCAATCAGCCCAGCTGAAGGTTGTAGAACATCGCAAACATTTTCTTATCTCTTGCTCCAACCATGTCAGCCTGCAGAAGTGCAGCCCTGTGTGCTGCTTGCCTCAGTTTTCTGTGGCTCCCAAACTTGCACTGGTCCTATAAACACCACATATAAGACAAGACAGAAACCTGTCCCTTGAGTAGCCCCACACAGTCCAGATGTTGAATGCACAGTCCACTCTTTTGTTTCTTTTGTTTCTATTTTGAAGGAGGATCCCCACTATAAGGGCTTTCCTCCTGATGTCTCCATACTGTGCAGTGTAGGGACAGGGACACTAATGGATGCACTAAATGCTGGGAATTATTCAACTTCTTTTTATTAGAATTCCTTCTTGGTTTTACAATGGCCTTAATGACGTAGCTTCTCAACTGGTCTCTAAAGCCCTCACAGAAGTATTCTGCTCCATATATTGTTCTCAAACAGTCTATATGTGGGAAAACCATGGTGTGTGGTTTCCTAGTCTGCCACCTGGCTGAAGTACCATTTTCTTTTCTATTTTAAACCTAGAGTAAATTCTCTTGTATTTTCACCTTCTTGCACAAAATGATTCTCCTCAATCTTTTCTCCATGTTGTAGCCATCTTCTGACCTCCACTGACTTCTTCACATTCAAAAGTAGTTTTGTTGTTGTTTTTTTTGCTTTATTTTTCTGTCCATCCCAGCTCCCACTATTAACCTACTAAATCTCAATGTCAACATTGGAGACATAGTGAAAACCTACTTTTATTTTTCCTTGAGCGATTCAATATTATTGCTACTATTGCTACATCCTAAATCTCAGTTACTTATAATCATTTAGGCATGAACTCTCTAAAATCTTTAGCCTTAATATTATATATATTATGTCTGTATTTGCATGTATAATATAATCTCTCTATCCGTATATATATGCAAAGTAGAAATTACATGTCTAAGCACAGTGGACACCCAGTAAGTAGATTGTCTCACTAATACGTGAAGAAAACCCACAGCCAGAAGTGTGGGTGGGTAACAATACAAGAGAGACGACAAAGCATGTTAGAATGGGCACTTCCTTTTGCTGAGCTTATAGAACTTGGAGTTTGTCCGTATGCACATGTTTAATGCCACATTCTCCTGTTTTCAATGGACACACAAGTAACATATGCTGATCTAAAATTATCCCGGGATACTGGCCTTGAAATTTCATCTCCCCCATCTGTTCCTCAGGGTAAGTGGCTTTGATTTTCCTGTGGGCATTTGTATATCTTCCAGAGTTAGATTTTCTTTGTAAATGTATGGCTTTAAAGTGTTGTTTTGAACATGTGCAGCAGTCTTATTAATGTTAAATATGTACAGCATAACTTATGGGTAGATAATCACAACTGTGGAGAAAAACACTTACCTCAGAAATTTCTTTTTTATTAAGGTATCAGTGTGAGAAGTGAACATTGCTCCTATTACCGATCCTTGGATTAAAGACCTGGAAAAAATACTTTAAATGTGTGAACAAAGGAACAGTTTGAGGGACACATTATTATCTTGTAATACTAACCCACCTTATTCCAAATCCTCCTACAAAATTCTAGTACTATGATTACGTTCCAGTGTGTTTGCATCCGTAGCATTTCTTTAGAATACAAAGTGTTGGGTTAATGATATGAATCCTTCACTCTCCAAAGGAGATCTTTCTGGAAGAAATCATATTTAAGATCAAAGATTGGGAATAATTATGATCTGATAGTTTCCAACTTGGAAAGCATTACAGCTTAGAAGGAGATTAATCACAGACCTTGGAAAATATTACTAACGAACCTATTTGACATTTGTTGAAATTGGCACTCTTCTGTGTGTTAGAGGAGTTACTATTCTGATTGAAAGAAAAGGGGAACTACAATGTGAAGTAATAGGTAATAGATGCCATATCTTAGGAATGGATTTTTAAAACACCAGAAACTAGGCAAAAATATGTATAAAATTATCATGACATAATATTACCTTTTGAAATCGATCCAAATTTATGAAAGCCAATAATATGGTGATTTTTATTCAACCTGGTATTCATTGCACATTGCGCTAAGCATATAGATTATACCTTTTTAGGATGTTTTGGTATACGTTTAAAACTATTAAATTATCAACATTCTAAATTGTGAAAAAAAATCTTAGGGTTATCAAATAAGTTTCACCATACTCTTCATATAGGAGTTAAAGGAAATCGAAGGATTTTAATAACTACTGTCAGCATTTGGTCAAGTCAAAGTTATTTTTTGCTGGGTAAGAACAAGACATCCTTTTTCCTTATTCAGATCTAGCAAAAGTGAGGAGAAGGATGATGGTGTTGAAAAGGGATATCAGAAAATGAATATAGAAAAAGACAGTAAGATTTTCTACAAAAGCTACTATCTATGATCCCAAAACAATGGGTCCAGAATATTTGTCTGGTTTGATTGTTATTATTATCTTACAAAATATCATCCTAAAACTAAATATGAAAAACAAAGTAAAAGAAAGTCAGAACAAAATGTGTGACTACAAAACACCAGTCTGGTATTACAATTATTGTGCAAACACTACTGAGCTCTTTGGCTAAACTGTTCAGGCTGTCGCAACCATATAGAATAGTGTGATTATATCAAAGGCAGTCAGTAAAACCAGAGGGAAATGTGAGTTGTGACATTTTGTTTACAGTGACGGGTTTGCTCTCTTACAAAAGTAGATGAGGTGTAAGCAAAGTCTCTAGAGTTTGTTCATTCATCCAAAAATAAGCACCTATTATGTGCTGGGCATGCTTTAGGTGCTGAAGGTACAGCAGTGAACAATCTAGAGTAAAAAAAGATTTTTAATTGAGTTTATAGTATACTACCATGGGGACATACAAATAAACAAAAAACTAAGTACATATGAAAAGTTTAGGTAATATGAAGTGCAACTGAGAAAAATAACAGTTGAAATTGAGATTTAGCTTTTTGGGAGGATGCCATATCAAATAGAATGATCATAGAAGCTCTCCCTGACAAGATGAGATTTAAGTCAAGACCTGAAAGAACTGCAGGATAAGGCATGTTTTCTGGGAGATGGGCCTTAGGAGGTTGTGCCAGAGAGTACAACATCCCTCAGTGAGAGCTTGCCCGTTACATTGCAGGAGGAGCATGTAAGTTAGTGTGAAATAGCAGCATGTGTGTACGAAGAGTAGTAGGAGATGAAATTAGAGAAGTAATGGAAAGCCAGATTGATTAGGGTTTTGTAGACTTTTTTACAGATGTTTTTAGAGTCAAGGTTGATAGAAAGCCACTAAAGGATAAAGCAAGTAAGGAGTAAAGGAGTAAGGTGATTTAACATTCTAAAAAACACCCCTAAGTGGGTCTTTCCAGATAACTAAACTTTACCTGGACTCTTGTTATTGTAATTCCATTAATTCCAATGTTACGTAATGGTGCAGAAAAACTTAACACAGGGACCATACCGCCCAGGCACAGGACCTTCCACTCAAGTCTTTAAATTTTAGCAAAAATAAATAACTATTTTTAAAAGTCACTCCAAATTACCTTTTACCTACAGTTTAAAAAAAAAGACTTAAAAAAACCCTAATATTTATTGAACCGTTGCTATGTACCAGGCACTATGTCTAACATTTTAGAATTGTTTCATATAATCCTTTTCAAAACTTTATGAAGTAGATAGGATTCCACACTTTAAAAGTGAGGAAATTTGTGCTTTATGAGGGCTGAATGCGTTGCCTAAAGTAGCATAATCAAACGCAGATGCTACAGTCGAAAGCCTCCGCTCTTAATTATTGCTATACTTCAGTAATAAATATTCAAATAGTAACTAGATGGAGTGTTTTTCATTTGGCAAAGTTTCAAGGGAGAAAAGGATGAGGAAGAAAAGAGACAGAAAGGTAAATCAATACACACATATACAACTGGAAGCAGTGATATCCTAAGGCATGTCTTATGTTTATTGATTGAATTTAGCCTCTCTGTGTCACTCTGGCTCTCATTCGAAGTTTTAGGTCAATATTTTCAAGTTTGGCTTCTCATACTCTTATGTATACCCAGGGTCTTGGAGTCTCCTCTGGGCATCTATTCCAACCTCCCACTCCGGGTGGTAATGCACCTGTCATTACTTTGAATCTCATCTATTATGTCTCCTCCCATAACCTTTTATCACATTTAGCTGTACTGAATTCCATCTCCCCAGGATCATTTTAGAAACAGCTAAATCCTATGAATGTCGGCATCCAAATGGAAGAGACCATTAGCAATTGTCTGCAAACTGGGCTGTACAGCTGAATGGCCAAGGAGACTGTGAAGAACAAAGTAGGAATGTAGGTCTCCTTAGAACATTTAATGAGAATAAAATACTGCATTTTAACATACCTGATACTAAAAATTTAAAATGTGACTCAGATCATGTATGCTGAGAAATATTAGAAAAAATATAAAAAGGAATAGATAACATAAATAAATCAATAGCTGTATATAAATGTAAAAGCCTTACTTAGAAAAGGTCTTTGCCTCTAATAATACAATTTAGAAAACAATTTATAATTATAGTATATCTAACATGTTATAAACCAAATAGGGACAAAAAGGGCTTATAATTAAATCAGAGGTATAGTTGCTTCTTAAGCACAGCTTGAAGTAGAGTAACCGAAGATAAATTACCAGAACAATTCCCATCAGAGATGATTTAATTTTGGAAGCTGTAGCCCACTGTTTCCCAATATTTTAAAATTAATAAGTTCTTCTTTTATTATTTTTACCTATGAAATGCATGTTTTTAAGATGTCTAAAATGAAGGCCATCCTTTTTAGACAAAAGCTTTTGACTACCTTTCTGCAATAGGGTAGATGCTTCATTTTTGCACTTGGCAATTTTCAAAACATTGATTCTTCATTTGATTCTTTTTTTTTCATTTGATTCTTGTATCGATCTTTCGTACACGAGGCAAGTATAAATATTTCTATTTTATCAGTGAGTAAATTCTCAGTTAGCTCTGACTGAGATCCCGTCTTGTGATTCAACTTTAAGATGGCTGATAAATGTCCTTTCCTGCCACCAGCTATCAACGTGAGTCTAACTTTGCACGTGTGATCCAAACCACCTTTGCTTTTTATTATAAACTGAGTTAATTGAGTGTATTTTATGTTTTTTAACTTCTCAGATGTCTGTCAAGGTCCACCTTGGCATCGATTTGCTCTGAAACTTGCGTGTACTGGGGTTATTCTTCTTGCCCTGACTGTAATTGGGTTGAGTGTTACAGGTAAGTGATGCAATATCATTTGTTTCTTGCTCCACTTATTCTACTCCTATCATAATATTAGAGTATCTTAACATAATTGGCCACCCCAAACTTAATGAAGACACAATGGAAAAAAAAAATAAAACAATGCTTCTAACAATGCTCAGTCCATATTCACTACCCAAACTTAAGCCTTTCACATTTCTCTTCCTAATTGTTCTGATAGTCTTCATGGAGTTATTCACAAGTGTCTCAAGAAATTAAAAAAAATAATAATAATTACAATGAAAATGTGACAATAAATTGGAAAATTTAAATTTCCAATTATTTACAGTTTCTTAAATACCTACTAAACTCCAGATTGCACTAGGCAATCTCTCCCTTGGGATATGCATCATTGAGCTAACTCTAAAAATGAGACATTTCAGGCAAGAGTTTAAGCAATTTAAGAGTTAAAATAAAATCCTGAAGTTTATTCATCTGGTTGATGATAACAGGTAACCCAACCTCTGTGTGAATTCACTTATTATGTGTTTTCTTGTTTGTTTGTTGTTTGTTGTTTATGTATCCTGTCTTCCAACTTAGGCCCTTTGTCACTACATTGCTGTTGCCCTTATCTACTGTCCATAGTCAAGCTTATTGAGATAACTTAGTTTCTTGAAGTGATAAATAGAGCATATATATTTCACCACATTTCAGCATTTAATCTTATTAATAGTTTCTCCTTATTTACTAGTGATATTCTTAGGACAAAAATCACCAATAGAAAAAAACAGTGTGGATGTTCAAGAGAAAAGGAATGAAACAACAGGTAATTTTGTGCCTTGAATTTCCTGAAAATAATGGCTAACATTTGATAAATATCATGTATTACCTTAGTTAAGGCTCATAACATCCATACGATAAAATAGTATTATCGCATCACTCTGATTTTATGTTTGACAAAACTCAGGCCGAAAAGGTTAAGCAATCAGAGTCATACAAGTAGTAACTGTTGACACTGGGAATTGTACTTAGGGAGTCTCATTTCAGAGCCTGTGATCTTAACCACCAGAGCTTACTACCCCATGAGAAACTGCTGCTAGGATATTCAATAATTAATAGCAAATATCAAGTTAAAAAGTAAAATATGTATTTAAGTGGAATATTTAATGATTTCAATGAATATGTGAATAGTTAACTTTGAAGTGAAGTTAACTAATAGAACTCAAATATAAATGAATCCTTTAATATTGATTGTATTCATCATTGCTCCAGTAAGTACTGCTGACCCTTGAACAGTGTGGGGGTTAGAGGTGCTGACACCCCTGCACAGTTAAAAATCACATATGACTTTTGACTCCTCCAAAACATAACTACTAATAGCCTACTTTTGACTGGAAGCCTTACCAATAACATAAAGAGTCAATTAACCCATATTTTGCATATTACATATATTATATATGGTATTCTTACAATAAAGTAATCCAGATTAAAGAAAATGTTATGAAAAATATCATAAGAGAAAGTACATTTACAGTACTGTATGTATTTACTGAAAAAAAAAACTACACATAAGTGGACCCACGTGTCTCAAACTTTTATTGTTCAGTGGTCAACTGTGTATGTTAATAAAAATAACTATTGCTGAATGGCTGTAGCAGAATGTGGTCCGTGTCCACATTTTACAGAATATTTTAAGAAACCTAGAAAATCTTCTGGAAAATGCTATGCAATAGATCACATTACATAGGCAAAGATACCATTTGTCAATTAGAAATTTTCTTATGATGATTTCCTCCAAGGCATTTGTCATTAATTTAGTGAAATGAATTCTTATTTGCTTAGCATTTTGCATGTTATTTGAAGTAAACATTTTTGGGGTAAGTTTGTGTTGTTGTCCAGGGAGTGGAATAAGCACTGGTGATGAATTTACAGAAACTCAGAAATAGTTTTGATTTTACCACCATCTGATTGTGTGGACTTGGCCAAATTATTCTGTCTATTAGTGTCTTAAAATGTAAAATGTGGCTGCTTAAATTATTTTGAGGGTCTTTTCCTATTCTGATGTTCTGTGGTTCCATGTATGCTCAATATGACTGGACACTAATTTCTAATTGTTGGTTCCAGAATGAACAGTAGGTCTCAAAACTTCAAAACTATAATAAATTGATTAATTGTTCTCACGGTGACAAAGACTGAGCATTCATAATGACGTGTGTGTGTGTGTGTGTGTGTGTGTGTGTGTGTGTGTGTGTGTATGAGATTAGTAGCAGTGGAGTGAGGGCAGGTTAGTGACGTAACACTTATTTATTTATTCTTTCTCTTTCTTACTTTAGAGAGACCAAGTCCTTTAACGTGCCCAATGCATTGGCGTCTGCTCCAAGAGAAATGCTTGCTTTTTTCTAATAATTTTAACACGTGGACTGACAGTCTAGCTGACTGTTCCAGACAAGAATCCAGTTTGCTGCTTATTCAAGATCAGGAAGAATTGGTAAATAATCAAATAAAATACTTGAATAGAACTTACCACTTTCTTCTAACCATATGAATATCATTGGGCTTTAGCTTAAAGGTTCCATGTAGATGGAAGTCGTGACCTTAACTTCAAGAAGCTCACAATCCAGAGACTAAACAGACACACAAGCAAATAATTGACTATAATTTGGTGACTACAACAATGTTATGAATAGGTAGAGAGAACTATCACAAAGAAGGAATAATTAAGGGGGAATTAGAAAAGGCTTCATAGTGAGGGTGACACTTAAACTGTGTTTTAGAGAATGAGTAGAAGAATGCAAACTATGAGTGGATAAACAGATTCAATATTCAGACATTATTTTCTGTTCCATTTACAGAGACTCATACAAAACCTGATGGATGATAATGGAGTTTTCTACGGTATTGGATTAAATTTTACGTTACCAGAAAAGAAATGGAAGTGGATAAATGGCTCTTCTTTAAATTCTAATATGTGAGTATTAGATAAGCTAATTTTAATATTCAATTTAATCAGATTTCTATTACAAGGTAGTAACATTGTTATTGAAGATTGAATTTTATAGTTTTAATTTAGTTTAAAACTCTCAAATTCTTAAAATGTGTTTTATCATTCACAGAAAGGTTAGAATTTAAAACATGGGAACATGTTGAAGTTTATCTAAAATGTAGTGAAAAATTATTAAGTATGGAAAAGTATTAAATATTGAAAGAGAGGTTGGTTTTACCAGCAATTTTGACATTGTTGAACCCACGTTCTAAACTATTTTTTAAATATGAGACTTTAAAATGAAGATTATTTTAAAATAAATTTTCTAGATTAGAATGAATTTGTGAAAAGGCAAGCATACTCATTTTATTAAATAAAATCTAACGTGATTTGTTATATGCTTTCTTAGAATTATTTTCTATCTTATTTACATAAACATGAAACCCTCACTTATTTTTATATTTTCATACATAGTAAAGGTTAATTTTGGCTTAATGTGTGTGTGTGTGTGTGTCTGTGTGTGTGTGTATGTGTACATATGTGTTTCTTAACAGGCCATGATGTTTATTTTATTGAGGTTCAATACAAATAAAATTTAAAACACTGAAGTGTTTGTGAACAGAAATATAGGTAAAGTGGATGGGATAAATTCAGTAGAATATTCCATTTTATTCTGAGGATAAAAATTATGCTTTGATGAAAATAGTAGTGATTAAGTAAACCAAGAAGGTATCAGGTTATAGTAGAAAAAGCATCAGTTAGACTCTGCTTACTTTTTGAAAAATTAATTAATTTGAATTAAATTTATTGGGGTGACATTGATTAATAAAATTACATGTTTCAAGTGTAAAATTCTATAATACATCAACTATGTATTCATGTGTGTTCACCACCCAAAGTCAAATCTCCTTCCATTACCATATATTTGACCCCTTTGACCCTTTTTTACCTCCCCTCACCCCTTTTCCCTCTGGAAACCACTAAACTATTGTCTGCATCTATGAGGTTTTGTTTGTTAGTTTGTTGCTTTCATTTTTATATGTCACATATGAGTGAAATCATATGGTTCTTGATTTTTTCTGTCTGACATATTTCACTTAGCATGATAATCTCAAGATCCATCCATGTTGTTGCAACTGGCAGTATTTCATCTTTTCTTATAGCTGAGTAATATTCCATTGTATATATATGTATTACATTTTCTTTATCCAATCATCTATCGAAGGACACTTTCGTTGTTTCCATGTCTTGCCCCCTGTGAATAATGCTGCAGTGAGTATAGGGGGTACACATATCTTTACAGATAAATGATTTCAGATTTTTGGGGTAGATACCCAGAAGAGGGATTTCTGGGTTGTATGGTAATTCTATTCTAATTTTTTGAGAAACCTCCATGTTGTTTTCCACAGTTGCTGTACCAATTTACATTCCCACCAGCAGTGTATGAGGGTTCCTTTTTCTCCACAACCTCTTCAACACTTGTTATTACTTGTCTTGATAATAGCCATTCTAACAGGAGTGAGATGATATCTCTTTATGGTTTTGATTTGCAGTTTCCTAATAGTGTTGAGTATCTTCATATGTTTGTTGGGCATTTGTATGTCTTCTTGAGAGAAATATCTGTTCAGGTCCTCTGCCCAATTTTTAATTGGTTATTTTGGTTTTTTGTTGCTGAGTTGTATGAGTTCTTTATGTTTTAGATATCAGCCCCTAATGGGAGGTGTAGTTTGAAAATATCTTCTCTCATTTGGTTGGTTGCCTCCTTGTTTTGTTAATGGTTTCTTTAGTTGTACAGAAGCTTTTTTGTTTGATATTGCCTCATTTATTTATTTTCACTTCCCTTGCCTTTGAGGTCAAATTCATAAAATCCTCTCTGAACCCAAGGTTCATGTTTAGTACCTGAATTTTCTTCTATGCAGTTTATTGTTTCAGGTCTTATATTTAGATCTTTGAACAAGTTTGAGTTAATTTTGGTGTACCGAGATAGCAGTCTATGTTTATTCTTTTGCTCATGGCTTTCTAATTCTCCCAGCACCATTTATTGAAGAGGCTTTCTTTTTTCCATTGTATGTTTTTGTCTCCTTTGTCAAAAATTATCTGCCCATATATATGTGGGTTTAATTTTGGGTTCTCAATTCTAATACGTTGATCTGTGTGTCTGTTTTTCTACCCAATCCATGCTGTTTGACCATTGTCACTTCGTAGTATGAATTGAAGTCAGCAAGTGTCATACCTCCGGCTTTCTTTTTTCTCAGGATTGCTTTGGCTTTGGGGTCTTTTGTGATTCCATACAAATCTGATGATTTTTTGTTCTATTTCTTTAAAAAAAATGCCATTGGGATTTTGATGGAATTGCATTAAATCTGTATATTGCTTTGGATATTTGGCCATTTAAGCTATGTTGATTCTTCCAATCCATGAATATCTTTCAGAATATCTTTCCATTTCTTTATATCTTCTTCAATTTCTTTTAATAATACCTTGTACTTTTCAGTGTGTAGGTCCTTCACATGTTTTGCTAAGTTTATTGCTACATATTTTATTCTTTTCATTGCAATTGCAAAAGAATTGTTTTCTTCATTTCTTTTTCTGAAATTTTATTGTTAGTATATAGAAACACAATGGATTTTTGTACATTGATTTTGTACCCTGCCACTTTACTGTATTTGTTTATTGTTTCTAATAGTTTTTTGGTGGAGTCTTTAGGATTTTCTATATAAAGAATCATGTCATGTGCAAAAAGTGACAATTTGCCTTCTTCATTCCCAGTTTGGATGACTTTTATTTCTTTCTCTTGTCTGATTGCTAGAGCTAGAACTTCTCATACTATGTTGAATAACAGTGGTAAGAGGAGCATCCCTGTCTTGTATCTGATCTTAGAGGAAAAGCTTTTAGTTTTTCACCATTAAGTGTGAACGGAGCTGAGGGTTTGTTGTGCATGGCCTTTATTATGTTGAGGTACTTTCCTTCTATACCCATTTTATTACGGCTAGATCTGTCATACATAATGATTCCTCTGATGGATCTGGGGAAAGTAAATTGAAAACCCTCTAGAAATTATTCACTATTTTAGATGCCATTAAGAATATTCATTATTCAGGGCCGGCCGAGTGGCTCAGTTGGTTAAGAGCTCGCTCAAGAGTTTGAGCTCTGAGCAACAGCAGTTCGAGTCCAGCCCAAGCTGAGCAGCCGCTGAGCTGCCAACAGGTAGCAGGATGGCTCAGCTAAAATAACCCAAAAACAACAAAACAAGAATATTCATTATTCAAGGTAAGGGGTCAACATTAAGAGGATTTTGGAAGAAGTTAATTCCAACCCTCATGGATGACTTTAAGGGGCACAAGACTTCAGTGGACTAAGTAACTACAGATGTGGGAATAGCAAGAGAGCTAGAATTTGAAGTGCCCTGAAGATGTGACTGAATTGCTGCAATCTCATGACAAAACTTTAATGGATGAGGAGTTGGTTCTTATGTGTGAGCAAAGAAAGTGGTTTCTTGAGGTAGAATCTACTCCTGGTGAAGATGTTGTGAAGGCTGTTAAAATGACAACAAAGGATTTAGAATAATACTACATAACCTTAGTTAATAAAGCAGCAGCAGGGTTTAAGATTGACTCCAATTTTGAAAGAAGTTCAACTGTGGGTGAAATGCTATCAACCACCATTGCATGCTGCAGAAAAATTTTTTGTGAAAATAAGAGTCAATCAAAGTGGGAAACTTCACTATTGTCTTATTTTAAGAAATTGCTACAGCCACCCAAACCTTCAGCAACCACCACCCTGATCATCAGCCATCAACATCAACGTAAGGCCCTCTACCAGCAAAAAAATTACAACTCAATTAAGGCTCAGATAATGATTAGCATTGTTTAGCAATAAAGTGTTTTTAATTAAGATAAATACATTGTTTTTTAGATGTAATGTTTTTGCACACTTAATAGACTACAGTATAGTGTAAATATATATTTTATTTGCACTGGGAAACCAAAATATTAGTGTGACTCATTTTATTGTGATACTTGCTTTAGTATGATAGTCTAGAATCAAACTGGCAACAATTCCAAAGTATGCCTGAACTTTGTTTAAGCATTGTCACACATTCACATGCAGCATCTCAATGCCTCCCCCAAATATTAGGTGGTTATGTTCCACATATTTAAGAAAACTGAAGCTCAGTAAAGTTAAGGAACTTTTCACATGACATGTTAGTAGTACAATAAGGAGAATTAATTCCCAGCTTTAAAAGCTTCTCTCTTTTTTTAAGCATCATTATGAAGTTTCTTGTTAGGATTGTTTCCCAGTGAAGATAAACTTGCAGGTTCCAGAGGTTAATATGAGCTTTACATGAAATGTTTATACCATTATATTTGTGACTGTACACTCTGCCTAATAATTTAGCATTCCATTATTTTCTGAAAGTTGTAGGAAGTACTTGCTGGAAGAGGAAAATTATGTGAGAAAATTCTGAACACTAAGGGAACCTTTTCTTTTGCTCCACAGATTACAAATCACTGGTGATGCTAAAGAAAACAGCTGTGCTTTCATCACACAGACAGCAATTTTTTCTGAAGACTGTACTACAGAGAATAAATGGATCTGCCAAAAAGACCTAAAACCCATCAGAAATTAGGAATGTCCTGACTCTTGACTATGCATCCAATCTCAGTTTGTTTACTTTCCATTACACGTCTCTGTAATTTTAACTGTATATACTGATAAAATGGCCTAATGTACATTTAGTGGCACAAAGTGAACACATTTTGAGAATTCTAAAACCATTGTGAATCTTACAGAAGTTAACATCTAACCTACTCATTCTACAACTGAGGAAACAGATACATAGAGAAAACATGTATCATTTTAAAAGACAGTGAATATCTGTGGAAAGAAGCCCAGATCAGCTGGGGTCAATTGGTTTCTAAACCCGGCATGTGTCTGGTCTCCATTGATCCTTGTTATGCCTTAGCTCATTTTCAGAAAAGTTGGAGTAAATAATGGTTTCTAAAGTCCTTTGCATGGCCTATGATTTATTTATACCATCGCACAACTGGGTTGTGGCAGAACACTGACTAAAGTGCATTCTCTGGACTCATATCAGAGACCCATCACTAAAGGAGTTTGGGAAGGAAACTTAAGTCTTCCCACCATTTCAAAATTTTTCCCATTTTAATTTTCTCATTACTTTTAAATTTTCTACAGATCTCCATCTCTTCATGGCTCACACACAAGCTGAATGAAATATGTAATGAAAAATTTCATTATTCTAATGGAAAATAAGTGATATATTTTTAACTCTGCAGTTGGGGAAACTGAAGTAACAAAAGAGAAATGTTTATTTTGATAGATCTTTTGAGTGTTCACTCTTTAAAATCACATGCAAAACTTTCTATGGAAATCAAATAAATGATAATATTGAATTTACCTTACAAAGAAACTTAAAATTTCTGAGAAATAGATACCTACTTATCCTGATAAGTCAATGCCAATTGGAATTATATAAATTCAAGTACATACTATAATGACCAAAATATCATTTCAATTTCTGTTTTCTATGCATAATGATTTATAATACTTATTTATATACAATTTGAACACATAAAAAATCCAAAGTATAATTTGTTTTGTACCAATCACTTAGGAATAAACTATTTAGGAAAACATTCCAGACAAGTGCTTCATTATAAAATAATATATGATAAAAGTGAGATTTTGAGGTGTTTGCTATTAGAGGAAGAGACCTGTAAAGAACAGGAATCTGAAAAAAATGTTCCTATGATTGACAAAGCACCTTCCCACCTCTTTGGAACAACGTCCAAAGCAACCTTCTAGAGCAATTCAGGGGTAAGACTCCCAAAGTTCATCCAGTTAGTGCAGAATTCATTCCAAACATAGATCTTTTCCTCCTCCTATACTATTAGATGTGAAATCAAGTGCCCCCAAAGCACACGCCTACAAGAAACTTTTACAATGAAACTAACCCCAACAAGTTAAGTTGTGTCACTGTCATTTGCTGTTGCAATGTTAGATAATCAAAACCTAAAATTGGGTCTGATACTGCTGAGATCATCTCTGAAATTCAGACTATGAGGGAGCAATTCCATGAGGAAGGCATGTCTAACCATAGTCCAGGGAGATAAGAAAACATTAGATCTAATGGGAAAGTTTTGATTACAGTTTTTGATTCAGTATTTATTGACAATAAACTAACCAACTCCAAACCAAGCCCAAATGAGATACTTCCTATATCATTGAACACCTGCCATTTATGTTTTCTCTATGCAGCCCATGCTCCAGGCCCACCAACTCCTTGCCATTCTCCAAAGACATCCTGACGTTTTGTAATATCATGTTTAATGCATGTGTTCCACAAATGTGAGATGCGCTTTTCATGCTACCCCTTTATTCTTTGCCTAGAAAAATCTTAGTAATTGTGGAAGGCTTGAATTACAATAGATGTTAATTGGGCCGGCCGAGTGGCGCGATGGTTGAGAACTCGCTTGGGATGCCAGAGGGCCCCGGTTCGGATCCCACGTGTGAGGGCCAGTGACACTGCCCTCTACAGCTAAGATGCTGAACAACGGCTCAACCTGGAGCTGGGCTGCTGTGGGTCGCCGGCGACGGCGTGGGCTGCGGTCCCTGTGGCAGTGGGTTGCCATGGGCTACCGTGTGTGGCCAGCAGCCAGCGTGAGCGGCCAGCAGCCGCAGTGAGCGGCCGT